TTGAGATAGTTACTATTGTGATATGTTAGCTTGGCATCCTGTTAGATCAGATGGTTATATGCTAGTATGATCAGTTAGATCGGTACCCTGGTAGATTGAATGTGGTTATGCTTAGTGACCTATAGTTTGGTCTGACAGTCTGTATGCTAGTAGAAGATTACATGTTATATGTGCACACGATTGAGCAGTAGTGGAGGGTATCCCATCCCGAGGATGATAGGGCCCTAGTATGTTGTCTTGTAGACTGTTATAGTATTATCTGATATAGATGCACATGTTTTATTGATAGTATGTAGCATCCAACCCGATGGTTGTGGGCTAAGAGTATTCCATCCCGAGGATGATTGGACTCATCATATGTGGGAATTCCAACCTGATGGTTGTGGGCCGAGAGTATTCCATCCTGATGATGATTGCACTCATAGTAGGTTGGCATTCCAACCCGATGGTTGTGGGCCGAGAGTATTCCATCCCGAGGATTATTAGACTCATAGTAAGTTGGCGTTCCAACCCGATGGTTGAGGGCGTGGGGTATTCCATCCCGATGGATGATTGGATACATAGTAGTTGTTGTATGTGTAGGTGTGTGGGCATTCCAACACAACGGTTTTGGGCCGAGAGTATTCCATCCCGAGGATGATTGGACTTGTAGTATGCTGGCATTCCAACCTGATGGTTGAGGGTCAGGGGTATTCCAACCCGATAGTTGACTGGACCCATAGTATGTTGTTCATTTCTTTATGTGTATGGTTGTGTGTATGGGTATTTTGGGGGTAACTCACTAAGCTTTCGAGCTTACAGTTTCAGTTTATTGTTTCAGGTACATCAGGAGATCCTGGCAAGGGAAAGGCGTGATCGTACAAGCTCCTCACTTTTTAGGACTTTGTTTCTGGGATACTCTGATATGTTACTTTTTGAAAACAAGTTTTGTAATGGTTGGTCGTTTTGGAAATGTTTTAAAAGTTTTAAATTAGCTTGAATTTTATGGATATTACATATGCTTTATGTGAATCTACCAACAACATTCAATACTCCTCATAAGCTTGGAAGTGTAAGAATGTGTGGATTTGATTTACACCAGAATTATTCTAAGAAAATTCAGTCTAGTGTTTGTTACTTGTTCAATATGACAAAACAATTACGGATTTTGCATATTAGATAACCTGAATGAATCAACACTAACTCACTTGGCCAAAAGAACCACAATTGAAATCAAACCTTCAATTAAAACCAAATCAAATTCAGTAGATAGCATTTAAAATAAACAACAAGTCAAATGATTGAATTCATACACATAATTGTCAATACATGAAGTTGGAGAATTATGTTTCTAGCCACTCATGACTAGAACAAAGCACAAACCTATAAATTGAAATTAAAGTCTTACAAAGTGAAATTCAAATGAAATCCAAGTGTTTTCAAGCAACAATTGTCTTCAAAATACTCCCCAAAATCGCCTCTAGAACTCACAAAATCGACTCCCCTTTTCTTCTGGAAGCGGTTGCTTCTTTTTAGAAAGGAATTAAATTGTTTTAAATTGACGACCTCGTTTACATGACGCGTGTAAACTAAAACTACCATTTACACTGTCGTGTAAATACAAAAAGTAGAATGCTCAATTTGGTCAGGCCTTCAAAGTTTGATGCTTGATAGAATGCGTTTACACGGCCCATGTAAACACAAGGCTTGCATTTACACGACCGTGTAAATCTCTGTATAGCTAAAATCTTCGTTTTCTTGATATATTCCTCCTCGATGCTCCACAAGTCCTGAAACTTCATCCATATCTCTTATTCATCACCTCAACTAAGATCCTACCTCTAAAAGTCAAAGGCGTGATCGTACAAGCTCCTCACTTTTTAGGACTTTGTTTCTGGGATACTCTGATATGTTACTTTTTGAAAATAAGTTTCGTAATGGTTGGTCGTTTTGGAAATGTTTTAAAAGTTTTAAATTGGCTTGAATTTTATGGATGTTACATATGCTTTATGTGAATCTACCGACAACATTCAATACTCCTCATAAGCTTGGAAGTGTAAGAATGTGTGGATTTGATTTACACCATAATTATTCTAAGAAAATTCAGTCTAGTGTTTGTTACTTGTTCAATATGACAAAACAATTACGGATTTTGCATATTAGATAACCTGAATGAATCAACACTAACTCACTTGGCCAAAAGAACCACAATTGAAATCAAACCTTCAATTAAAACCAAATCAAATTCAGTAGATAGAATTTAAAATAAACAACAAGTCAAATGATTGAATTCATACACATAATTGTCAATACATGAAGTTGGAGAATTATGTTTCTAGCCACCCATGACTAGAACAAAGCACAAACCTATAAATTGAAATTAAAGTCTTACAAAGTGAAATCCAAATGAAATCCAAGTGTTTTCAAGCAACAATTGTCTTCAAAATACTCCCCAAAATCGCCTCTAGAACTCACAAAATCGACTCCCCTTTTCTTCTAGAACCGGTTGCTTCTTTTTAGAAAGGAATTAAATTGTTTTAAATTGACGACCTCGTTTACATGACGCGTGTAAACTAAAACTACCATTTACACGGCCGTGTAAATACAAAAAGTAGAATGCTCAATTTGGTCAGGCCTTCAAAGTTCGATGCTTGATAGAATGCGTTTACACGGCCCGTGTAAACACAAGGCTTGCATTTACACGACCGTGTAAATCTCTGTATAGCGAAAATCTTTCTTTTCTTGATATCTTCCTCCTCGATGCTCCACAAGTCCCGAAACTTCATCCATATCTCTTATTCATCACCTCAACTAAGACCCTACCTCTAAAAGTCACTAAAATATCAGAAAAGTGTGTGAATGGAATTGCATCATGAAAAATCCCGATAAATATGCAACATGCATGAGTTTAAACCTAAATGAAATGCACTTTTATGGAGTAAAACTACAAAAATGGATGCATGAAATGAACCTAACAAATCTCCCCAAACTTGAACCTTTCTTGCCCTCAAGAAAGAACAAGAAAAATTTAAACTAGAGAAAATAAAATAAAGGAGAAGAAAAGAAAATCAAAGTCAAAACTTTTTAAAACTTAATGCAAGAAATCAAAACAAACATAAAAAAGAATCCAACCCAATTAACCATGTTTTTGTACCATAGTTGAGAATGTACCTATCATGCCTTGAGTCAACTTGGCTTTGGTCTCAAATTATATAACAATAGAAATAAGACTTTAGCCACTCCATAATGCAACTCAATAGAATCAAAGATCACAACACTTGTTCCCTCTCAATATCATCAAGTCAATTCAGGGAACAAATTATGGTCTTACTCTCGTGAAATTGTATGTGACAAAACATGCTCAATCATCTTTGTTTCACAAAATATAACAATGACCAACTCCGGTTATTTGTTTGTTAACAACAATCTTTTTCTAAAAAAAATATTTTCTAAAAATTCTCTAATATTTACCTAGATTGGATATAAATTCCAAACCACTTACACCAATTAAAGTAATTAACATTCAGTCACAATGTCATAAGTTCAAATCCTAGTCCAAAGGATTCTTTTGGCAGCCAAGCATTTTTCCTAAACATATTATTTAATTAAACTATAAACATAAATATATACAAACTTTCTAATTACATTTTTCTACAAATAAATCTCATGGCTTTCTTTGAAATCCGTGTAACGGGTTTTCAACCAACACATCCATATCAAATGACCTTAGTGTGCTAGATTTAAAGTGATCCCTCAGGTTTACTTGCCCGAACATCAAAGGCCACATCTTAGCTTTAATTGTTATTATTAAGTTCATGACTTTCTATGGAACTCGGGTAGCGAACTTTCAACCCAATCAATCCCAAACAATTTAGCTTTAGGCGATTAGGTGTAGAACACCCCTCAGAGTTTACTTGTTCGAGTCCCAAAGGTCACAAATTAACTTAATAATAATTTTTTTTAAAAGAATTGTTAACTAAGATAACACATAATACTCTTATTAATTTAGTTGGTAGGTTTATTTTTTTATATTTTCGTCCTTGACTTTTTTATTATGGGACATCTCACGGTCTATTACCGTGAGGGCTTCTAGACACGTATCAGGGGACTGAAGTTAACATGCAAAGACCCGTAGGTATAGTTGGAAATATGTCCTCAAGTAAGGTATATAAAAGGGAATGAGTAGAAAGAACTTTTTAGAGCGCTGGAAGGCTGGGGACATTGAAATTTTATATTTTTTTTTTTATGAATTTTTCAATTTGGCGTTTTGAGTTCAATTGAGCATTTACTACTCATATGACCAGTCATGCGTCCCAAAGAATTGACTCATACCTGATGTTATGCTCCAATGTTGACAATCTTCTCACTTTCTGTTTTGCACAAGTAGCTTCAGGATGTGTGTTCGTGTGCGGTTAGCTTGCTATTATATTTTCAATAAAAAGAGCAAGTCTAATCTCAAGGCAAACGACTTACTTACCGGCTCAACCGTTTTGAGAAGATTTGGGATTAAATCAACAATTTTTTTTTAATAAAAATTGAATGCAATGCAAAAATATTAAAACTAGAATAGAAAGAAAATATTTTGTTTTTTTTTTTTTTTAATTTTCTATGCAGGAAAATGAAAATGAAAATGAAAATTAATGCAATATGTACAAAATTACATGTAACCTACATGCAATGGGATTTATGCATGGATGGATGCCCCTCCCCAAGCTTAAAATAAGCATCGTCCTTGATCCTTGGAGAGAGGCATAGTCAGCTTATTGAGGGCCGGGCGGTGGTGGATGTAGTGGGAATTGTGAAGGGTAGTAGGGCTGATAATCAGTAGGATAATATGGGGGCCACTGGAGTTGAGATATTGATGGTTGTTGCTGTGGTGGAAGGATAAGTACTCGGTGAAGGTCACTCATCAAATAGTGGATATTGCGGTTGTGTTGCTCTTGAGCTACCCATCGTTGATGGAACTTAGCCCACCTCAACTCCTATTAGGCCCAACGCTCTTCCTGAAGATTACGATAATTCTAAAATTTCGAAGTGTTTTCAGCAACGCCAATGTAAATATCTCCTATCTCCTGCTGTAAGCTCGTGTAATAGTGGTCTAAGCATGCAAATTCACCCATATAAAGGTTGTGCTCAGGAAAAGGAATAAGGCGAGATAAGCTGGAAGCACCTGCAGTTGTAGTTGGAACAAGAGGATTAGGAATGGTGGTCGGAGGTCTACGGGTTGCAGTAACACCCAAGTTGGACTGGAGGTGCCAATTGGTGGATTGGATGTCATTGGCCAAGGCTAATATCTTCTTATTTCGGTTGTCGATGCGTAGATATTCTTTACCATCGACAGTCCAATGAACATCCCCATTGGAATTGTGGTGAAAGAGGTGCATGTCCATAACTTCAAGTGATAAACGAGTACGACCCGAAATTATATTGGTTGGATTGTTGGGTAAATGGAGGCCAAGATGTTCAGTTATAATAGAAACCATGCCTCCACAATGATTCTGGCCACCATTGCTCAAGGCATCTCTGAGCATTTTCTAAATTACCCCACACCCGAAGTGAGGAACTTCCTTGGGCTTGTGAATCATGCACCATAAGACTTCCAACTCTTTCTTTTTTACCTTGCTAATCTCTTCTTGAGGAAAAAGGACAGAAGCAATGATCCGGTGGGTGACCTTAAGAACCGGATGAATGATACTGGAAGCCTTTGTCGTGCCCGACTGAAACTCATGTTCACAATAGATGCTTCTCCAAAATCTTTCGCAACTTTGCTCAAATACAACATTTTTTTGCCCTTTGTTGTATACGCATCCCATTTCGCCTTTGGAGAACCAATAATATCACAAAGGATGTCAGCATGAATCGTATGGGATTGATTGAGCAAACGGAAAGTAAGGATATGTGTTTGGTAATCAAAGGTGATGAATGGCAAGAGTTCCAACATGGGTGTTTGATAGCTTAAAGCATGGAGATTCAATAGACCTTCCCAACTAATGTTCTTCAAGAGCTTGTGGACACCTTTATAGATATGAAGGTCCTTAAGGGCTTGGATGTCTACAAACTTTTGTACCCTTTTTACCCTTTGAATAAGGCTTGTATACAAAATCTCTTGTTGATTGGACTAAAAAATAATACCAAATTCATAAGGGTTTTTCATGGAATATTGGTCTTGTTCATCATTGGTATCTTGACCACCCATATGTGAGGTCCCAATTCTATCCTTTTTCCCACGGGAAGCCATTGCCCAATAAATTCAACAAAGTTTTGCACACAATGTAGGGAAATTTGGAACTTTAGAATATACACAACAACTAGCAATATCACCAATAATTACCCCAAAAGAATGTGGTTCTAACTATATGCACAAAGTAAAGAGTTAAGAACAATTATACCAATTTGTGCTTGAAAAGGATGGTAGGGTGATGTCCAATGCTTCCCCAAGCTTATCCTACAAGATATTACAAACATTAGCTCGAAATTGGGAGACTAAAAAATTCTAGGGTTGGCTCCAAACCCCCCAAAATCGGCCATTAGTGGGTGAAATTGAGATGTATGATAAAGAAGATGAAGAAAAGAGAAGAATTTCATACCTTGGAGCTTGATTTTGGAAGCAAAATTGAGGAAGATGGAGTGGTTTTTGAGGGTTTATTCGAAGGGGGTAGTGGGGAGGAGATGAACTGCAGATTATGTGAAAAGAATGAGTTAAAAAAATTGAGTTTTAGGCTTTAAAATCGTCCAGCTCTGTTTTTATGTTTACACGGATCGTGTAAACAGAAGGATAACATTTACACGGCCGTGTAAATGCTGCATTTTAACTAACTGACGGAACGTTTACACGGCTCGTGTAAACCATAAGCATAAGTTTACACGGCCATGTAAACCTCTGTAAAGGCCAAAAATTTTGATTTTTTTCACTTTTTGAAATTGCAACCCGCTAATCCACTACTGCCTGTAAAATGATTTTTTTACCCTCTTTAAACATGAGAAACAACTTGGAGACTTGAAAACGAAGAAAATATGATGGAAAAATAAGAAATGAAAAAATACCCCCGGGTTGCCTCCTGGTTAGCCGCCCATTTTTAATGTCGTTGGCTCGACGTGGACCCCAACTATTTGTCAATATTGGTACTTTGGATCTGTTACTTCCTCCACTTCTTCATTTTTTACTTGAAATCCTTCATAATAAGGCTTCAAACAATGCCTGTTTACCTTAAAGATCTTCCCGGTTTTTTCACTTGTGATTTCTATTACACCATGCTCAAAAACATTAGTGACAACAAATGGTCCCACCCAACGGGACCTTAATTCACCAAGTGCTCATCTGGGAATGTGTCACGGATTGGCCTCCTTCTTGATTTTGTCCTTTTGCCAACGTGTAGACTCTGGTGGAAACTGATTTGTGACCAAATAGTTGACAATATCCGCTTACCATGGGGCTTCCTTGACAACGAACAGGTGCTCATCTGGGAATGTGTCACGGATTGGTGTGGTGTCTGCGGGTGACACAATACGACTAAGATGATCCGCAACCAAATTATCTTTCCCACTTATCTTTGATTTCTATATCGAACTCTTTCAAAAGCAACATCCACCGTATTAACCTCGATTTTGAATTTTTCTTGAGTAGTAAATGCTTTATATCTGCATGGTCCGAATAGATAATCACTTTGGTTTCGAGGAGGTACTGTCAGAATTTCTCCAATGCAAACACAATAGCTAACATTCTCTATTGTGGTATAGTTGTTTTGTGCACTATCAAGATTCTTTGATGCATAGTGGATGACATGATGTGCTCGGTCCACCTTTTGACCCAATATCACCCCTACAACCATGTTGTTCGCATCACACGTGATCTCAAATGGGAGATCCCAATTAGGTGGTTGGATGATTGGAGCAGAGGTGAGTAAATCTTTCAAACAATCAAAAGCCTCTTTGCATAGTCGGGTAAACTCAAATTCAACATCTTTTTGGAGTAGTTGACACATTGGCACCATAATCTTTGATGAACAACTGATGGAAACCTGTATGACCAAGAAATGAACGAACTTCCCGAACATTTTTCGGGTAAGGAAGACTCTTGATAACATCTATCTTGGCTTTGTCAACTTCCAAGCCTTTTTGGGACACAATATGACCTAAAATCAATCCCTTGTCCACCATGAAATGGCATTTTTCATAGTTAACCTCAAGATTTGTGTCAATGCACCTGTGCAGAATTTTTGTTAGATTGCTCAAGCATTCATCAAAGGAGTTTCCATAGACTGTGAAATCATCCATGAAGACTTCAATGATTTTTTCAACATATTCAGAAAAAATGCTCACCATGCATCTCTAAAATGTTGCGGGCGCATTGCATAGACCGAAGGCATACGCCTATAAGCAAATGTGCCAAAGGGACAAGTGAAGGTGGTTTCTCTTGATCTTCCGGGGCTACAAGAATTTGGTGAAAGCCCGAGAAACCATCTAAACAAAAATAATGAGATTTTCCCACCAATCTCTCTAACATTTGGTCAATAAATGGTAGGGGGGATGGTCCTTTCTTGTTGAAGAATTCAACTTCCTATAGTCAATACAAACTCGCCACCTATTTTGCACATGGGTTGGCACCAATTTTCCCTCATCATTTTTGGCAACTGTGACCCCAACCTTTTTCAGGACTACCTAAGTGGGGCTTGCCCATTTACTATCTGAGATAGGGTAAATCATGCATGTATCCAAAAGCTTCATGATTTCTTTCTTGACCAACTCCATCATGAGTGGATTCAATCTTATTTGTGCCTCTCAGGTTGGTTTGAAGTCTTCCTCCATGCAAATCTTATGCATGGAAAAATAGGGACTCAACCCCTTTATGTCAGCAGTCGTCCACCCAATAGCCTTTTTATACTCTTTCAGCAATTTCACCAACTTATTTTCTTCTTCTTTAGACAACTTATTGAGATAATGACATGCAATGTCTCCTCTTCTCCAAGATATGCATACTTCAAATGCTCAGGAAGAGTCTTCAATTCCAGCTTTGGTATCTGCACAACAGAAGGAAGAAGTTTTGTGTTAGAAATGGGCAGTTTTAGCTTGATATTATCATACCTCATTTTCTTTCTTTCTTCCATGAACTCCAAAATTTCTAGTAATTCCTCATCAAGCTTGACATTTGTTGCAATTTCCTTGACCAAATTGTTATTAAAATTCCTGCTCAAAACTAACTCCAAAGAATCATAGTTAGTCAACTCAAAACACTTTTCGATCAAAGGTTGGATCACATCAATTAAATTTATACAATGAACATCGCTTGGATACCTCATTGCTTCATAGATATTGAAGTTAATGATTTCCCCATCAAATTCCATAGATAATGTATCATTGTAGACATCAATTTTTGTTCTTTCTATTTTTAAAAATGAAAATGGTCTTCTTAAAAGTATGGAACTTGAGGTTTGGTCATCATTTCCTATATCAAGCACATAAAATCAGCGGGAAACACAAGTTCATTAACTTGCACTAATACGTCCTCTAATACACATTTTGGATGTATCAAAGATCGATCAACAAGTTGAATTATGACTTTGGTTTCGGCTAGAGGTCCAATTCTCATTGTTTTATAGCTTGAGTAAGGTAAAACATCAATTGATGCTCCAAGATCAAGCATCACACGTGGCACAAAAAGGTTACCCATTTTACAAGGAACCATGGATACACCCGGATCCTTGCATTTTTTTGGTAGTCGTTTTTGTAACACGGTTGAAACTTTTTCCCCACCTTTCACAAATTGATTTCCTTTAAGCTTTTTCTTAGATGTGCAAAGTTCCTTAAGAAACTTATCATATCTAGGAATCTGTGTAATAGCATCTAAAAGAGGGATATTGATTTCAACCTTTCGGAACATTGCCATGATTTCATCATCTTCATGTTCTCTCTTTGTGTATGTTAGCCTTGAAGGAAATGGAGCTGGTGTGATTTTCACTTCGGTCTCTATTGGCTTCTTTGACTTTGAAGTATTTTTCCTTTCCTCTTCTTTGACAACTTCTTCTACCTCAATCTCTTTCTCTTCCTCTTCTTCATCCGACATCCTTGGACCTTCATAGCTTTTCCCACCTCTTAAGGTAATGGCACATGCATTGTATTTCGGGTTCTTCTAGGTTTGAGATGGTAGCTTGCCTTGTGATTCCATCTTACTCACGAATTGAGCCAGTTGTGACACTTGTTGCTCCAACTTTTTATGCTTGCCTTGGTTTCTTGTTGGAAGCTTTGAGTGTTAGTGGCAAGGCTTTTGACAATATCTTCTATTGACATGCTTGATGAACCCGCTTGTGGAGGTGGTTGTGGTGGATGCCTTGGCTGGAAATTTTGAGGTTGAAAAGGTGGTCTTTGTTGGTATTGATGTGGTTGATTTGGTTGATAATTTCCTTGTTGATTTCCTCCCCAACCTTGATTGTTGTTCCATCTTTGGTTTTCCCGTGGATGCTCAAATCCCCTTTGGTTTGACCCGGAATATCCTCCTAAAGCATTTGCTTCCGCAAAATCCTCGTCTTGAAGTTGT